CTAGGTTGCTAGTTGCTAGGTTGCTAGGTTGCTAGGTTGCTAGGTTGCTAGGTTGCTAGGTTGCTAGGTTGCTAGGTTGCTAGGTTGCTAGGTTTGGTTGGTTTGGTTGGTTTGGTTGGTTTGGTTGGTTTGGTTGGTTTGGTTGGTTTGGTTGGTTTGGTTGGTTGCCTTAGGAGATGAAAGTGGAGCAGCAGCAGCAAGCAGAGGAGATGAAGACGGAGAAGGAGCGCAGTTCGGGGCGGATTTCAGCCCAGAAGGTCTCAAGATGACCCTCCCACCATCCACCCAACCAACCAACCATAGACGAGTGCCATTTTTGTCCAATGGGCATCCACTGGATAAATCCAAGCAACAAAAGTCAGGGGCCTTTGTTTCCCATGAACATTTGGTGACTTTGTACTTTTTGGGAAGGCTATTGTGATGGTAGACAAAAAGAATAGACTGTTTGTCCCATCCACTCACAAAGTTAACAAACTGTTAGCCTCCCAAAAACATGGACGTACACCGACCCCTTTTGAAAGACACATTTTGTTTTGCAAGATGGTGTTTGTGGACTTGCATGTTTGCTGTTGGGAGGGTAATCTATGGTCCGCACAGAGAGGATCAAAAACAAATTAGGCCAACAGCGCCTTATTTTTGGCCGATGGTATAACAGGCGCTTTGCGGCCCTGGGGAAGATACATAAAGATTTTTGAAGCGAGACCAAATCTTCGGACTTGGTTGGGCAAATCTTCGTGACTGCTCCAAGGCGCTCCATACTTAGGTGGGCTTGATGTTCTCTAAAAACCTGGAACTTTCGTTGATATTAGTCGTTTAGCTTGGCCAAGTATCGACCAGAATCTGACCCTCCTTTTGTCGTCGGTTTGGCTTTTCGGGGACTCGCATGCGAATCTTTTCAGCATTTACCTCATGTGGGTAGCAGTTTCACCAAGCGTCTTGGTACAACTGGGTGCCAAATGACTCACATAGCCCCGAATCAAACCTGGATAGATGAAGGCGCCGATCCCAACCGACAGGTGCGACTGTCCGGCCTCTTGATTCTTTGCATGTTGGAGATTGTCAAACTCAAGCGCTCCCTTCTACCGGGGCCACTGTGGGGATAGGGCACGCCGCGTCCTAGCCCGGCCTGTTTTTCATGACTTCAGCTGCTGTGCAGTGTTACAATATCTCGCTTGTCAAAGTTCCTGAACTGTTTCTACCTTTTCTCACTTGCCCAAAACGAATCGACCTGAAACAACCTGTTGGTTTCCCATGAGGGCGATCACCTCTTACTTCTGGGTCCCATTTGGGGTGTGTCTGGTAAACGACACGGCTCAGACTGTGCTTCAATGCGTTGAGGAGGTCAGGTTACCCTCCCCCCGGCGAACGTGGAAGCTCCCAGGACCCCTTTGGAAGACTTGGTTTGAGAGTGCAGAGCCGAGGCAAGCTTCGATTTCAAAAAAGAAGCTCTCGGCGACTGATGGAAAGTCGGTCAAAGGGGTGCGAGCGAAACACGTGGGGAACCCTTGGACAATTGCCCGTGGAACTGTTTTCCACCGAAGGGCCCCAGTTCAAAATCATGCCCATATCATATATGTCATGTTTGGTGTGTCATGGTCAATATTGCCTTTTGCTGGGCCTAGGTTGGTCCCGGACCCTTATTTCATTGCAAGCCTTTCGTGGCGCACAGGAACTTCGATCATGACATACGTGAACCCAACTTCCCCATGCCCTTCTGAGAAGCAAAGCATAGTGTTTGTGGGTTCTTCCATTGTGAAGATGGTGCCCGCCGAGCAAAGCTGTGGTTTTTCAGGACAGGATGGCCAAAGAGAAGTTGGCCCTGAAGAAAGAGCTGGCGAGGGAGGCGAAGAAGGTTGTGAATATTGAATACATGATAATTTGCCCAAACAGGTTCGGTTTGTTTTTTCGGTTTGTGTTTAGTCAGCATGAAAGTTTCGGTTTGTTGTTTAGTCAACATTCTGGTCCTTACCACCCCACACCTCCGGTTGTGCCCGCTTCCCTCAAAGTGAACAGCCAAATTGAAATCCACCGGAGGTCAGGTAAACGTAGGCCTGATCTCCGCGTGCCAGGCGGCAAAGAACCAGTCGCAGGCGTCGCAGGCGTCGCAGGCATCTCAGCCTGTCATGCTGCTGGAGCGGAGCAACCTGCAGTTCGGCACCGTGCGGCTCGCCAAGAATCTGACGGGGCTCACAATCAAAACCCGGGTAATTGGAGGGTAGTAAGGGACAGTCCCAGCCATGAATGGGTGCAGCTGCCTTGATAAGTCTTTGGTTCTGACCATTTGGAAACCAGCGAACCTGGAAATTCTACAGGACATTTGCCAAATGCCCACCATAAACAAGTTGGATTTCCTGTAGAAATTCCTGTAGCTGCTTTCTTTGAGTGTGTGTGTGTGCATGTTGCCTGTTCACCTTTGTTTGAAGGGAAACCCAAAGGGGAAACAACCATAAGAGGAACAATGGTCGAGAATGTGCAGTGGGCAGCATGGCACGCACACACCAAATGTTTTAAACCAAATTGGGGATACGCGCACTCACACACCTTCCTCCTTGGTACATTTGGACCAGAATCAATCATGTTATTTTGGTTGGGGACGAAAGCTGAGGTAGCTACAGTTTGAAGTTCACCAAGCAGTTCCTTTCAAACCTCAGCTGTTCAAAGCCGACCTTTGACCTTTTGGTTTTCCCTTTTTGGTCTATTTTTTAGTAGAGGTCCCAAAAGGTGATCACCTTTTCTTTGCAGGTCCTTTGGGCAAGTGAGAAACACCTCCAGCGCGGGCATCATGTTTCCTTCCGAGACAGGAAAGCCACGGCGATCAAAAACTGCTTCGGGGCCATAGCAAGGGGAGCCGTTGCAGCCTCGTCACTCACCAGTGGCCTTCTCAGGGCTTCTCTTATGGCTTTGGTCCCCCAGCTAGGTGCCCGACCTCTCACCCCTTTTTTGGGGGGAGGGTTCGGGACCCTACGAAAATAGACAACAGAAGAAAACAAAAATCGGGTACCAACTTATTCTAACCTCTCCACTGGAGAACCTAGTCGGAATTGGGCCAAGGGAGGCTATTGAAACAACGGGCGTTGTAGGTAGGCAACTGGATCAGCCCCTCTTTTCTTCGCACAGTTATTTAACCTACTAAGTTGGTTGGACATCCACTCAGTTGCTGGCCGACCTTTTGACCTTTGGTTTTCCCTTTTTGGTCTATTTAAGGTGAGTCCCAGTGTCACGTGTTCACTGCCCAGCCCACAGCCCACAGCCCTCGCGCCGCAGGTTCTTCGCCGCCTTCGGTACGGTGGTGGCGGTGCTCGCCTTCGTGCGCCGGAGCAGGACGGCGCACTCGGAGGACTACGCCGCTCGAATTGAGGGGAGGGGCCTGGGGTCGGAATCAGAGGTGACCCGGCCTTTGCTGCAACAAGTGGGTTGCAATTCTGTTTTAATTGTTTTTTGGGGAGGGTTCCCTTTAAACTCAACCAACCAAAAAAGGATGCCGATTCTTTTTTCCCATGGCCGCTGGGCATCTGAGATATTTCTCATGACTTCCATTTGCTGAAGGGAATATTGTTTTTGGGAGTTGTCCCCTGTTGGTTTTAAAGGGAATTGATGTCACTGCTGGAAATATGTTCTCATTTTTTCCAGAGGGCTTGAGCAAGGGAAGCATGTTTTCCAGGGCGGAAAAGCAAATGGAAGGTTATCGCATTTCCTGTTTAGCTGCTTCGAGAGATGTAGGGGCCCTCAGGAATGGAATCACCCCCGAAAAACAAGGTCACGGCGTTGCTAATGACCACGCTGCTTTTGACCATGGCGATCAAGCACGTTTACCAAAATTCCTGCGTTTTATGAACATTTCGTTGCATCGTTGACACGCACCATGTTTATTTTGTTCCATTTTTACCATGGCTTTGACAAGAAAGGGCCAAATCGCCTGAGAATAGCAGCACTTCGCGCTGCTGGCCAACACACGCGCGTTTCTTGAGGCTGCCGGCCTCTTGTTTTTTCAAGGTGCAGAAGTGAAGTTGATGACCAACAAACGTCGGGATAGAACAAAACAGCCAGCACGCAAAGCCGGGGTAAGAGGGGAGCGGGCGCGCGAGAGCGTCAGCCAGGCAGCGCGAAGACGCGGCAGTGCAGCAGGTAACCGACACCAGGACAAAGGGCTTCGAGCAGATATCGCACCATTATCGCACCAACAGATGCCGCAAAATGCGCGAAAGGATCAGACGAACTACCAGCGAAAACTTCAAAGTGAGCGTCCAACAAGAACGGATCACACGTCCAAAATGCCTGGAGCCACGAGTCAACAATGGGGCAGGGTGCACACGCGACACGCAGCAGCAGAACGTACGCAACACAAAGAGCGAGAACAAAATGATGACCCATGGTCCTGGAGCCAAAGGTTGGGCCAGTGAATGCCTCACAATTGAAAGACGCATCTGCAGCAGTTGAGCGGGTGTGCTTATCATGCCCCCCCCCCAACCCCCCCCCCCCAGAACCATGTTATTTTGTAATCCGGTAAAAGAGCAGGCTGGTCTGCAGCAGTTGAGCGGGTGTGCTTATCATAACCCCCCACCCACCCCCGAACCATGATGCATGAACGCAGGGATGAACGTCCAAAAAACAAAGAACTCCACGGGGTCGTTAAGGACGCCGTGAGCAAAAACAACCATCCATCCTATGGTTTGATTTTTTTGGGAATCCCCAAAGCCAGTTCATTCCCAACACCCGGAAGGTCATTCTCTGCTGAGCACCAGCAAGTATGTTTTGGTGGGGTTGGGGCACACAGAATATTTCTTTTAAACGGGGGCTTCCTTGTTCCGTACTTGCAACATGGTGCCGGAATCAATTGTGGGCAAATCTCCCTTGGAGCCTGGAGCATTGTATCTGTAAAGCAGTCTGTCCTTTCTCCTTTCTTCTCCCCCTCCCGGCTCAAACGTTCCCAGCCCTTTTGTTTTTGTCCAAATACTTCCCTGCAGATCAGCATGGAAAAAAAGAACATGCAGCAGATCAATGTTTCTGGCTGGTTTTCCGAGTCAATTGGATGTGGCTCAGAGGGTTTGGAAGTGTCAAGGGTATCCCTTTTTCAACCCCAAAAAAGGGACCACGTTCGAAAACTCCCCTTTCGCGCGTCAAAGACATTTTGGCGGGAGGGAAGACCGCTCGCAAAAGAACAACATGCTGGCTCGATAGGCAGGGAGAGCTTTTATAAGGAGCTTTAGAAGCAAAATGTAGAAAAAGTAAAACCCTGCAACCCTTGGCTTGGAGAGTTTTACTTTTTCTACATTTTGCTAAGGAGCCTTGCAAGAGGCCTTATTAGGAGCTTTATAAGGAGCCTGAGAAGCAAAATGTAGAAAAGTAAAACCCTGCAACCCTTGGCTTGGAAGGTTTTACTTTTTCTACATTTTGCTAAGGAGCCTTTTAAGAAGCATTACAAGAAGCTTTGTAAAGAGCCTTGGAAGCAAAATGTAGAAAAAGTAACACCCTGCAACTCTTGGCTTGGAGGGCTTTACTTTTTGTAATTGCTTTATCAGGAGCCCTAGAAGCAAAATGTAGAAAAATAGAGCCAGGGTTTTACTTTTTCTACATTTTGCTAAAGAGCCGCGCAAGGGGCCTTATAAGGAGCTTCTTTAGGAGCCTTAGAAACAAAATGTAGAAAAAGCCAAACCCTGCAACCCTTGTTTTGGAGCTTTTTCTACTTGCTTTATAAGGAGCTTAGAAGCAAAATGTGGACAAATAGCAGGGTTTACTTTTTCTACATTTTGCTAAAGAGCCTTGTAAGGAGCTTTTTTAGGAGTTTTAGAAGCAAATTGTAGAAAAAGTAAAACCCTGCAACCCTTGGCTTGGAGGGTTTTACTTTGTCTACATTTTGCTAAGGAGGCTTCCAATTTGGTTTCCTGTGTTCAAAACCAGCTCATTCCCAACACCCGGACTCGCTGTCATTCCCTACCTATCGCACCAGCAAGAAAACTCTTCAAGGTTTGGGGGGCATCTTCCAGAGGCCTTTGGGGTATCTTCTTTGGGTTTGGGGTGTTGTATGGATCTCTTCTAAACCCTAAACCCTAAACCTGTTTCGGAGCGCATGGATCTCTAGCTGATGGTGCCGATGTGTTTCGGAGCGTTTGGATCTCTAGCTGATGGTTCCGGTGTTTTTCGGAGCTGCTTCCAAACCCCGGATCTCCCGGGGCAAGCCATTTTGGGCACCCATTTCAACCAAATGGCACATGGGCTGTTTTGGCAGACTTCCCACCAAACACAGCCGAGCCAAGGCTCAAGCACTTGGTTCTTTGAGCATATGGGCATCGGTCATTTTTGGGCACACATTTTTGACCCACAGCCCAAACTTCATGGTTGTTGGGACACATTTTACGTTTTTTGTTTATTGTGGGTTAGTGGTTGAAATCCCCACCTAGCTGCTAAGATTTGAAGCTTTTGCTCCCCAAACCCAACGTCAAGCAAATATGACGTCCTCTGGCTTCTCCAGACGCATCCCTCTCAGGTGATGCACCTGGAGGCGCCACTGGCGCCACTGTCCACGGTGCCGGGCCCTCGGGCGGCTCCAAAAACCCCCCGGTTTCGATCTGCCCCTCACCGTGTCGTCGGCGTGGGGTGGTTTTCCTGGGTATCCGAGTGGGGTGGTTTTCCTTTTGGGGTGGGGTGGTTTTCCTTTTTTAGCGTCCCACAAGCCGGGTTGTTGTTGGCTGGGTATCCGAGTGGGATGGTTTTCCTTTTGACCTAGCTAGCCTCCCACAAGCCGTGTTGTTGTCGTTTGGGTTCCGAGTGGAGTGGTTTTCCTTTGAGCGTCCCACAAGCCGCGTGTGTCGACTTGTGCCTTTGGCCTCCCAGGCGGGTGACTTCTGGAAACATGACAGGCGGTTGGAGTGAGGGGTTGCTTTCCCAAAGATAGCGCGGACGTGACGATCTCGGCAAAAACCATACCAATCCGAGGAATCCGATTTTCAGAAATAAATGAGAGTGTCATAACAGGAGGACCCTATAAATGGGTGTGTTTTCCTGTTGGGTTCCCTTCAAGAGAGTACCCTCAAAAACACACATTCAAATGCATTGCCCAATAAGAAGGCTGCCCTGAATATGCATTTTCTTTGCATTGAGCCGAGGTCGACATGAGGGTTTCTCTTAAACCTTCCCCGAGGAAACATGGGGCATACCGGTCATGACCATCACAACGGGATGTCATAACCCAAACAGGCCAAGGAATTGCAAAATTGGGCGGTATTGTCTCATCGGGCTGCGGCTTGCTAGGTACCCAAAACCCTTGGAAATTGAGTGGATTTGGCCACATCCTGGTTGCTCCAACGCTGTCGCGGTGCCAAAGTCTTGAGTGTTACTTGAGTCATCGGGAAGCGAAGGAAAACCAAAACGGCGAGTGATCGCAAGCCTTTGGCCCTTCCTCTGGCAACAGTGGGACGTAGCAAAGGCTGACGTTTGCTTTCTCGAACAACGCATGGCCACCTCCAGAGTAGTTTCGAGAATGGGATGACCACGCCCAGGTGAGGCTTGCAAGGTTGCAAATTTCTCTGAGCCCATTTTTGATCGAATTCAGCTGCTCCAAGTGGCCAGCAAAATGCTTCTCGGCCCATTCGCAAATGGTTTGGGAGGCATCAGATTTGAACTCTTGCTTTGCTGGCCAAGCTGGGTCTTGCCAATCACGCAGCGTTTGGTCGTGATGAAACCCAACAGTGTCCTGCCAGGTGGCCTCTGATTTAGCATCTGTTGGGCGGTTGTCTCAGTGTCCTTTGGGAAATCCCTCGGACCTCACTGCAGTAAGCAAGCAACGCCCATTCATAGAATAGGTGTCTTGCTAAAGCTGAGTTGTCACTTTGTCCATTTGATCGAAGGAAACTGCCATGGCACATTTTGTAGTGGCACCTGATACCAAGGGTTGGAAAGTTGTGTATTTGTTTTCAGGTTCGCAGCGCGGATTTTATAGGGCGACGCAGGGCCCCGCTCGTAGTAGGTTTGCTTGGGCTTAGAGCGAGGCGATTTGGCGCTCGTCTTCTTTGTTGAACCTTCTTGGTATGTGTCAAAACAGGAGGAACCCCAAAAACACGGTTGTCCTTTTGATTTTCCTTAAAACTAACATACGCAAGAAAATCAACCACACACACGCACACACTATCACACACACCCTTCTTGATTGTTTGGAGTGGTGGTTTGGGGATTGAAAGCTCTTTGTCCTTAGGATAAAACTGAAGCCTGACCTGTGAACCACCAAACCACCGAACCATCCAAATCCCCAAAGTGGGTGTGTGTGTGAACAGGGGGACCCCTATGTCAAACATCACCAAGGGTTGCCTGGGAAGAATGGTGATGGCAAGACCCGCGCCACCCGGGCATCAAGCGATTTTTGCATCGCTGGATGCGGAACGCGCGCCCGTGTGCGCATTTTGCCGAGCGTGTGCGGAAGCCGTGCGACGCCCGTAAACCTTTTGTGGGGACCAATCTTGTCTAGGGCTCAAATCTGACGCCTCTCCAGTGAAATTTAATGCAAAGTTGAAGTGGAACTGCCATTGTTTGCGGCCTTTGTCGACCTATTCCACCGCGCCCAGCGCCAAAGCCGAGCCTAACTCAACTTGGTGCCGAAAAGAGCTAGGGGGTCCGATTGTTATTTGTGCAATCTGTTTAGTGTAGACATTTGCTACAAAACACAGGCCCTTCAATGAGCCTTTCGTCCATGATAGCTGAGTTTTTACTCCAGACCACGTTGGGGCACGGGTCCTTTCGTCGGATATGCGATCAACAACGATCCTTGAGATACAAAAAAAAAAGGATGAGTGAGGAGGGCCCAAGACACATGGGTCTTTTGATATTATATCTATAATTATTTCTATCTTTGAATATAATTATATTTAAACATATTTTTGGTATAGGGTATTTGTTTTTTCGTAATGAAGATTTTGAATTATAGGATTGAAGATTTTTTTGTGTAGGCTTCCGACTTAAGTTATTGATATGATTATTGTTGTTATATATATATATATATATATTGATTATGTTTTGTTTGATGTTTTTTGTTTTTTTTGTTTCTGCTTTTTTTATCCTTTTCTTTTTTGCATTTTTATGTTGTTTGTTTGTTTTTTTGGTGTTTTGTTTTTTTTGTTTTCCGTTTTTGTTCTTTCTTTCTTTTTCTTGGTTGGAATGTTGATTGTGTGATGTTTTGGTTATTGAAAGTGATATTTGGGATTTATGATTCGTTTTGGTTGGTGGTTATTCGTTGTTTTTTGGGTGTTGATAATTGTGGTTGGGATGTTGATTGTGGTGTTTTGGTTATTGAAAGTATGGTTTGGTTTGTTGATAATGATGTTTAATAGTTTAATGGTGTGGTTGGATTGTTTTGAGTGGTAATTGTTTATTGTGTGTTGGTTGTTGTTGATTTTATATTGGATTTTGATATTTAGGTTCGTTCTAAATTATATTGTGTTTGTTGATAATTATATATTTTGTTGGATGTTTAAAAATTGTGTTTGATGGGTATTGAAAATTTTATTGTGTTTTGGGTTATTGAAATATTATATTGAAATTATATAATAAATAATAAAATAATTATTAAAATATATAAAATAAATTATATTAAAATAATTATCAAAATATAAATATATATATATATAAAGATAAAACAAAATATTAAACATATATATTTAATATATTATAATAGATTATATATATATTGATATTATGTTAAAAAAATATATATAAATTAAATTTATAATATATTATTATATTATTTTATGTTTAAAATATATTATATATAATTTATAATATGATATAAAATATATATATAATGTAAAATAATATATATAATTTATGGGTAAAGTATATAAAGATTATTTTATTAAGATTGGATATGTGTTTGTATAATATATATTAAAACTATGGACAATGATAAAATTTCTCTTAAAAACGATAATCTTTAGCAAATATACGGTTATATAATAATCTTTGTAATTGTAATTTGGTTAGGATGGAACCTTTGTTTGGCCAGCGTAAAATCTTATCTTGAGAAATGCTACGGAAGTATATTTCGTATATTTGATTTGTACTCAAAGTTGCGATTTTCGAGTTGGAGTTGTGGAAGGGTATTTTGTATTAAAAATACGATTTCTGAGCTGGAGATACGGAAGTGCACTTCGTTTACTAGACTCGTACTACAAAGTTGTGATTTTCGAGCTGGAATTGCGGAAATGTATTTCGTATACTAGACTTGTACTACAAAGTTGCGACTTTCGAGTTGGAGTTATGGAAGTGTATTTCGTGTACTAGACTCGTACTACAAAGTTGCGATTTTCGAGAGAGGTCGAGGGGTAATCCGACCCCTTTTTTTCAAACACCGCCTGTGGGAAGACGGCGGCTTGATTTTTAAGGAGTCGAGGGGAAATCCGACTGGATGTGTATTACAAAGTTGCGATTTTCGAGCTGGAGCTGCGGAAATTTCCTTCGTATGCTAGACTTTACTACAAAGTTGTTATTTTTGATTTGGAGATATGGAAGTGTACTTTGCATACTAGACTTGTACTACGGAAATGTACTTCGCGTACTAGATTTGTACTACAAAGTTGCGATTTTCGAGCTGGAGCTGCGGACGTGTATTTCGCGTATTAAAGTTGCGGTTTTTGAGCTGGAGCTGCGGAAGTGTATTTCGCGTACTAGACTTGTATTACAAAGTTGCGATTTTCGAGCTGGAGATACGGAAATGTATTTCGCATACTTGACTTGTACTACAAAGTTGCGACTTTCGAGCTGGAGCTGCGGAAGTATACTTCGCGTACTGGACTCGTACTACAAAGTTGCGATTTTCGAGCTGTAGCTGCGGAAGTGTACTTCGTGCACTAAACTTGTACTACAAAGTTGCGATTTTCGATCTGGAGCTGCGGAAGTGTATTTCGCGCACTAGACTTGTATTAGAAAATTGCGATTTTCGAGCTATAGCTGCGGAAGTATACTTCGCGCACTAAACTTGTACTACAAAGTTGCGATTTTCGAGCTATAGCTGCGGAAATCTACTTCGCACGCTAAACTTAATATTACAAAGTTGCGATTTTCGAGCTGGAGCTGCGGAAGTGTATTTCGCGTACTAGACTTGTATTACAAAGTTGCGATTTTCGAGCTGGAGCTGCAGAAGTGTACTTCCCATACTGGACTTGTACTACAAACTTGCAATTTTCGAGCTGGAGCTATGGAAGTGTACTTCGCGCACTAGACTTGTATTACAAAGTTGCGATTTTTGAGCTGGAGCTGCGGAAATGTACTTCGCGTACTAGACTTGTGCTACAAAATTGCAATTTTCGAGCTGGAGCTGTGGAAATATACTTCGCGTACTAGACTCGTACTACAAAATTGCGATTTTCGAATTGGAGCTATAGAAGTGTACTTCGTATACTAGACTTGTACTACAAAGTTGCAATTTTCGAATCGGACCTGTCAAAGCTCGAAAACACTATAAAACGATAAATTCTCTCCCAAAAACGATAACGTTCAAAAAAGTACTAGGGCCAAGTAAAATATTTCGTCCGCTCCTTATATATATAATTTATTAATATATATATATATAAAATGAAATATAATATTATATATATATATAAATATATATATTTACCGGAAAATATATATATGCTATAATAAATATATTATAATGCAATTTATATAAATATATATATATATATAACAAATATACTTATAATATAATATTAAATATATATATATAAATTATATATTTGTTTTTAAAATATATATATATATATATATTAAATATATTTTTATATATAAAATATATGGTTTAATATATATATATATTATAAATATATAATATCAATATAAACAGAATTTATTATTTATAATATAATATTTAATATATAATTTATTATTTATTTAATTCCACCTCATAATAAAAATATATATAATAATATATGTTAAAAATATATTATTATAATATACATACTAAAATAATAATAATTCTATTATTTAATTTGTGTTTTTTTCATATATATCGTGTTGTTTTCCATATATATATATAATTTTAATCGATTAATAAAAATATATTAATGTATTTCTCATTACCAAAATAAATAAATATAAATATATAGATTATAAATCTATTAATAATATTCTTAATTAATTAATAATAATAAGTATATTCAAATTTTCAAAATATAATTAATTATTATAAATTTACAAATTTATTTTTATTATCTACTAAAAAAACCATTATATCCAATAACAAAACCAAAACAGAGAAAACAAAAATAATTAAGAAAAAATAAAAATGAAACCCATATAAACATCAACGAGAAATTAAACACTAAAAAAAGAATAATAAAAAATAACCTTCAAATAAACCCGAATATTTCGCAATTGTTTCATAAATCATTAAAACATATTCCCCCCTATAAATAATACCGAGCTCATAATAAAATCCCACACAATCAACACGACTTTTAAAATTATATTCTTTTTCACCAAACCCTATTTCAATCCAACCCAATATAACCACTTTTCAA